ACACACACACACACACACACACACACACACACACACACACACACACAAAAGTGAAAATGGGTCAGTTTTGCATGTAAAAAAAATAATTGAGATTCAAAGTGAAGGGATGCATAGGCATATGTTATAATGATGTGAGCAGAAGCTGTTGTAGTTTGGTAAAAAACTGCTGTCTTCAGTGTCTGTGGATGTAAATCTGTGTGTGCGCGTGTAACAGAGACAGTGTGGCAATGTGTAAATCTGTGTTGCTCCCTTAATGCCTCCATATTTCAGAGGCCTTGTGGGGGATTTATGTGCAACTGCTCATGCCAATTTTCCTCCTCTGTCTCAGCACAGATAAATCAGCAGCACTAACACAGCTGCACTGTGAGAAGAGCAATTCACGCACGCACACACACACCCCCCAGCTGGGTGCACACACCATTTATGTTGCAAAACCCATAAAAACCCATAATAGTATCACGATGAACAGAGGAAACAGTCTATTATTGACAGGGATATGTATAAATAAAGTAGATAATAAATTCACACTTCTAAGGTGAAACACTAATCTGATGGCTCAGGTAAATTCATCCGTGTGGGGAATAACTGATGTGTAGGCCTCGGAGATTCTGAAGGAAATCTGCACTATAAGGAGAGCCGGCTGCTAAGATCTGCTTGTTCTTGAATCCTTGGGTGAGCCAGATATTTCAAGCCATATCAAAAAACTTCATATCCCATAATTCTCAGCCTTTGTGCCATGATGAACGATGGGTTTTCTAGGCAGTGTTCAGTGACAGGGTTATGACAGGATACTGGTGAGAGCTCAATCAGCAGATGTAAATCAGAGTCTGTGGCTCCACCCCCTCATCCATCTCTCTCCAGGAGAGGCGGCTCCTGACTCGGGGCTGGCCCCTGTGCGCACGCACGCACGCGCACACGCACACACACACACACACACACACACACACACACACACACACACACACCTAAGGGCTAGGTCGAAGCCAAATTCATGTGTGGCTAAAATGTAGAAGCCTCAAACGTGACACTTGTAAGTTCATGGTGATTACAACCAAATGATCCCCATTGGATCTACAGAACAGCAGTTACAAAAAATATAATAACACCTCGCTGGGCTACAACATATTGTGATTACTAGCTCATATATTTTATTTAAAGGCTAGCTTAGTATACATTTAAGTTGGATAACGTTTCCCATGTAAATGTAGTGTTTCATCCTTGCGTTTCCCTTCAGGATAACAGGTAGGAAGCAGCTTAACACAGCACTAGCTGACTATACCTGATGCCAAGGTTCATGGTCTCTGCGGTCCCAATCATCCCGATGGCCAGCAGCATGTTGTTGCAGATCTTCGCTGCCTAGAGAAGATTGACAAGAAAGCAGAAAAGGCACTTTTACTATGTGTGTATACGAGGAGGTTTGCAAGACAACCCATAATATAGAATATGGATACATTTAAAAAAGGTACATGAGACATAAATCCTTATGATCCAGCTTTAGAACAGACTTGTGAATGTGCCTCAACAGTGGCTCCCTGAGGATATATTTAACATTTTGAATGAACATTCCTGTATTAGTTAGGCAAAATCTTTATACTGCACGATTTATTTACTTTAAAACAAGTTATAGTTTAATATTCAGGATATTCTTTATGTTTCAGAGCCGTCTGTGAAGCAAAATCTAAAGCTGAAGATCTCTGTGAGATACCATTAAAAACAGAAAATTGTGGGTTTAATGGTCTCCTTGAGGATTGCAGACAAAATCAATTTCATACACATTTTTGTAGAATGTTTATAAATTCTGTGTGTGTGTGTTTGCGTCTTTACCTGTCCATTGCCAACCTGTCCACAGTAGACAACATTCGCTCCCATGCAAGTGAGCAGCTCCTGTGCAGCGTTGTATTCCTCCTCCACTCCACCCACCATGAAGGTCAGTTTGGCCATGCTGGCAGCCCCGACACCTAAACACAAAACACATGTCCACACTCAGCCTTGAGGGTTAACCGAGGTGAACACACACTGTGCTTGAGTCAATAGTTCACACACACTCAACAAATCCATCCCTAGTCTCTGAAATGGTCCAACACAGACACACATGTATACACGGTTGAAGAGTGAGTTCAATTTGACTAAACTAAAAAAGTGCAGACGAATCGTATTGTAACTGAGCACAAGTAAACAGGTGGATCCAACTAAAATATATGGATTTGCCAGACAAAAGAACATAATATATCAACCACTTGACTGTTTCAACGACTGTACTAACTGCGTCTAAAAGGTCAGCTGTGCACTTTACTCTCTCTGTGTGTGTGTGTGTGTGTGTGTGTGTGTTGGACTCATAGTGGGACAGGCGTGTTAAGTAGTGGTGCACCAGAGGGACAGAGGTATCTTTAAAAGCCGATTGTTGCCATCATCTTCTGCACAACTCTCGTGGGAGCCCTTGCCTTTTGTCCTGTCACCCTTGCTCTCTGTCTCTCTGTGTCTCTCTCTCACACACACACACACACACACACACACCCCAACAGCTGTGCCTGAGGCCAGCCCCCCTCATGGGGGTATCGGTGACAGGCGTGAGGGGTAATTAACTTTACACTTTATCATGTTCAATTAGGCGTCCCTCCCCATGCCTGATGGCTTAAGGAGCGTGCCATGTTGTGGGAGGCAACCTCGCCCCCCCCAACCCCCTCGCCCACTCCACAGGGTCCTTAATGCAGAAGTAACCCCTTTTCAGCTCTCGGGTTGGACCCAGCCGGCCTGAGTCTCCTCTGCAATGTCCCTTTAATGCTCCATTGATTAGCCCCAAACGTTAACATAATGAAATCTGCTATACACATGCTGTGTGTGTGTGCACGCACGCACGCACGCACACGCACACACACACACACACACACACACACACACACACACACACACGTTGATCTCTGCTACTTTTTTACCGGTTCTTGAGTATGATGATCTGATCTGTATGAATGCATCTGCATGTTGTTAGCTAGATAATGCAAATCACTGAGATTTTTTACAAATTGTAAAGTCCTCACTCGTCACTGTAAGCTTTACTCAAACCTTTCGTAGGCTCAATCATTGGTACTTGTTCATTCTTAAAGCCATTCTGGGTGAACTCTCATCACGGTAAATTTACTTGTATCGTGCTTTTCTAGTCCTACGACCAGTCAAAGCGCTTTATACACGTCCTTCACCCAGTCACACCCGTGCAAGGTGCCATTCATACCCACACTCGTCATTAAGTGTCTTTCCCACGGACACATCAATGATGATCAAGGATGACCCGCTCTACTACTGAGCCACAGTCGCCACACATCAAACATCTGCACTTTTATTTCACAGAAATCCGCCGGTAGTGGTAGTCTGAGAGAATTGTCTCTCAAAGCTGCTATAAGCTCAATAATAAATTCATTGGTTGGTTCTTGTTACCGTAGGTATCTTTGAAACGTTAGTGTATTTCCTCCATGTCTTCTCGTAGTTATTCTGGTTTAATGCTGCAGTCTCTGCCTGGTCGCCCTCGTAAAAGAGATTGTTGTTCTCAACGGCTCTTATCTGGTAAAATATGGGTTAACTAAATACAATGCCGAGCTCTCTCACTCTCTCACACACACACAAGAAGTCAAAAGGCTGCGATCATGCATGCAAAGTAACATACTTTTCAGTTCTCAGAAAAAAGGAAGAGAAAGGGAGGGAGAGAGAGAGAGAGAGAGAGACTTCAAATGTCTCTTTAGGGTGTCGTCTGGCTCTAATGAAAGGCCTCTTAATAGTGAAAGCCTAATAATGTCAGTGTTAATAATTAAAAGGGAATTACTGGGGACAAAACAGCTGAAATCACATTATCAGACTTCACTGCAGAGGAGGAGAGGAAGAGAGGAGACTTACTGTATATTTATGACCGATAAACAGAAATATCTCTTTTCACCCTCCCCCTTATTTAATTGGCTGTTCTTTTGTAAAGTGTATGATGGTGCCCGTACCACCACACTGTATATGTGTGTGTGTGTTGTGCGAGTGTCAGTGTTGAGCTGTCAGCAGGTCATTAGGGCCACATAATGAAGCCCAAAGCCCATGCTGCGGCAGCTGCCTATGGACCACGGCAAACGTATGTTGAGCGTGTTCTTGTCACTTCATATGAAACTAGTTTAGTTTCATATAAGGACGTTTGTTATTTAGTGGCAGAATAGCTCGGAGATTGTCCGATATTGTCTGTTTGACCAAATAGCTTGATCACAATCCCGTGTACCGTCTGTGTAACACACAGTGCTGAAGTAGTCAGAAAACTTTTACTTGACAAAGCCAACATAATTTTGAGGAAAACAATAGATAAACAATAACTCAGAGTTTTTCTTTCCATTGGTTGTAAAAGTTTGACTCATCCTATCACTTCTGATTTCTTACATCTCATTCACTCGTTTCCCAGCCTCAGGCTGAGCTTCTCTTTCACAGACAAAAACAGAGAGAGCAGTGTGACAACTGTGCTGGTTCATTAGGGGAGATCACTGCTCGCGGACGACTAAAGAGGAGATTATTGATAAGACAGTCAACGTGCTGATCAATATATCTCAGTAAGGAGAGAAAGAATAAGAGGGAGGAAGAAGAGCAAGATGAGAGAGAGAGGGAGGAAGAAGAGCAAGACGAGAGAGAAAAACGATCTTTCTCTTTCTACCTCCCAGCATTCCCCCTCCCAACTCTCCCTCCCTCAAATTAACTAATCACCCATAATAAGCTCTTATGATCTGTAGTGGATTTCTATAGGTAGTGACACCGGGATGATGGAAGATCCTTGTTGGTGGAAGAATAACACAACATTAGCATAACAGTGTGTGTGTGTTGTGGGGGTGTCAGTGAGTCTGTTCATTGTGCATGGGCAAAAGTGCATTTGTGTTTGCGTGCGTTGTGCAATTCATAGTGTCTATGTAGTGTGTACACGTCTAGCGCGTGTGTGTGGGGACATCCCGTTCTCGGACTGGTCCTGTCAGAGACGGATTAAAGAGGAATCCTAATGAGGCTTCCTGAGCGCCGGGCCCGCCGGCTCATCCATCCCAGCGGGAGTGACAGTCCTGGATCGTTAGCGCTGCACAACGCCCCCTAGGGTGGGGGGACTGTGTGTGTGTGTGTGTGTGTGTGTGTGTGTGTGTGTGTGTGTGTGTGTGGCACCTATGACAGAAGATACAGGGTTCAGGGCTGGAGAGGTAAGGAGGGATGGAAATACTAAGAAAACTTCCATAAGGGATAAAGTTATGTATATAATGCCACAGCAAATACTACTTCATGAATATAGTATATACTTTTACCAGAGTAAAGACAGCACATACTGCAACCTCTTTCAGGGATTAAGACAAGCGTGGCACTGTAATGTCTAGCAGGAAGTAATTCCCTTGGGAAAGAACCACCTCTCTCCTTAGTCACTTTCTCTCATCCAGCTCCAGGGCACAAGTTTTGGGTAGACAAGTAGTGGGTGCCCACCTCCTCAACCCGAAACGCAATTATTGTCAGAGTATGCAGAAACTGGCTGGACTATTAATGAGCCACGCTGTGGCTTGTACTGTGCAGAGTGAAAGGCTTGGGAGAATGAAAGTGGCTCCTACAATATGTTATATGAAGTATGGAGAGGCGACACAGTGTATATCTGTGTCTGTGAGTGTGCATCTGTAGTTGTGTGCGTCCCGAGCAAGTTAACTTCCACTCAATTAAAGACACACAAACCTCCTTCATCTGATCTCCTCTATTAACAAGGTTCAAGTTAAAAAGCAGGCAATCAGGCACCGTCAGGACAGATGCTCGGCAGCAGGCTTCGACGATGAACATGAGAGGCTGAGACTGGTTGTGTGAAGGCAAAGGAAGATCAGAGAAACAACTTTGGTTTGGCCTGTTTGTAGTGAACACTCAATTCATTAGCACTTCTTTCATTACACACAAAAGAATCAACCAAAGCAATTCATGACAGACTCATAACCTTTCAAACGTGGGCTGTTTTTTGAAGTGGTGTGTATATGTGCAAAGTAAGTGTGAATGTCTGTGTATATGTGCATGCAGTATCAGTGTGTGGGTTCCTGTGTATAATAGGGACAGGTGCAGATCCCAGAGCCGGCAGCCAATAAGACGTCAGTTGGAGCTTCTGAGGCCGTGTCTTGGAGTTATGAGCCGCATGTAAACCAGTAGGCACTTTTTATTGGTGGTGGGTTTAAATTATACTACATTTGTGAGTATGAGGCTACGCAAACACAACACACACACACACACACACACACACACACACACACACACACACACACACACGTAATGAATGACGCATTTGTCAACGAGCCACAACCCAGCTTATTTTCTCCTAGAGAGTATACAGAAAAACACTTTGAGTAAAAACCTATTATATCATTAGAACTCTTCCAAACACCCCATTTCCTAAATGATAATGTACTGTTCTTACTTCATGAACAACAGGAGAGATTTTAGGGCTATGCCTGATTTTCTGTCACACCTTTAAGTCCAAATGGAGTTCCTACAAACAAACTCTGGCAATATACTACAAGTTTTTAAGTACATGCACATGTCAAGTTTTGGCTCGGCTGACCATCTGTAATTCAGACAGAAAAGAGCCTTCACACCTAATAGTCCCAACAGCCTCGAGTCAATGGGAGTTGACTGCTTGAAGTCTAAGCCAATGGGGGTAGATTGTTTACAGGCCAACAACGCAGCCTCATGTGGTCCAGCATTATAATTACACCCCAGAGCAGATCTTTTTCTCAAACAAATTAAAACCCCAAAAAGTCCCCGTAAAAAGGTTAACGGATACCGAGCGAACGCATGAAACAGAAAGAGGGTGTGCGTTTACTAAATTCGCTCACACACAAAGAAATATAAAAAAATCAGTACACTTGAAACAGTTTATCTGCCAACTTTGCTAATGCTCCTCCGTTATGTTAAAAACAGACTCTTTAAAATCGGTTTCAGTTAACGAGTGCGGAGCCATGAGAACTGATCCGGCTCACAAACACTCCATGAGAACATCGACTGGAGAAAGTTTTGGGTTTTGGGAAAAACTTCTTCCAGAACGGAAGAAGATTTAATTCAGTTGAGAGCGTCGACATAGTTTCTTGGACATAAATGTTACAACAAGCCTTAAGGGTTTAGTTTGCAATGCCTGTCCATTGACCAGGCCAGCCCTCATCATCATTATCATCATCAGTAACCGCTCTATTCCATAGGGGAGAGGCTGGTCAATGGTAGGTGACACAGGATGGAGGGAGCAGGAAAGGTCCACAATCAATCCTCTCCTCTGGCCCCGATGAGACTCATCTAAGAAGAGGCAAGTTAATAATGATCCCCAATTAGGCTGACACACACACACACACACACACACACACACACACACACACACACACA